GATCAGTGTCACTCATTACACTATTCTTCCTTGTCCCTCCAACCCCATAATTCCCTCAGTTTACCTGGATCCATTTTCACATATGTACATGTGTGAATGCAGTCATGGTTGTCTTTTGTATTCTCATGTATTTAATTTGTCACCACTATACATAGTGGAAAGTTGGTTGTCATGGTTTCATGGAAGGAAGAAGAAAGGAAATTTATCTATTAATTTTTATTTAAGTAGTTGTACAAAGGGGTTTCAATTCAACATGTCAGTGATGAATGCAATCCGTCTGGATCAATATCATAAAAATCAAATGTGTTTGAGTGAAAAATAAAGATTCTGTTTGGCAAAAAAAGATGTTTCTGGAGAAGTCTTTTTTTTTTTACTTTCATAATACAAATGTAATGAATGTCACTTCATAGTGTATAACATTCTCTTGTTTTGTGGTATATATTTTACTTTGAGAAAAGTGGAAGTAAAAGACTGAGTGGACCAGTAAGAAATAACACAGACCAGGCAGAAAAGTCCTCATGAGATACTTCTTTCAAAATAACCACTAAAAAACAAGAAGTGGCACTGTGGCTCAAGTAGTAGAGCACTACCCTCGAGCACAAAAAGGCATGCAGTCCCTGAGTTCAAGCCCCACAACTGATAAAAAAAAGAAAAAAGAAAGAAGCAGAAACCAAGAAAGAGAGAAAGAGAGAGAGAGATCAGTTGTAATCAGAGGAGTACATAAAACACAAATCTTAACCTGAATTGATGCAGCATCTAAAGCCTATTGTGCACATTCTCTCTTTCTCCACTTCTTTTCCAATTAATTTTTTAATTTAATATTTACATTTTGTGTTTGCTGATGTTGTAACAATTCTGAGCACATTTTGTCTATTCCAATTTCAATAAATAATGAAAACCCAATCTTATAAAAATACAAAATAATAATAGAATAGGCAGCAGTTCTCTAGATAGTGAGTCTGTTTGATAAAATATTTCTGTAGATTCCCCATAAAACATTTTATAGGACAGAAATGTATCCATGAACAAAGGGTGAACCAATTCAGCAGACTGAGAAAAAAAAGGAGGGGTGACACTGTTAAAAAAGAAATATGCTTAATACCTGATTTAGGTAACTGTAAGCCCTCTGGACATCATCTTTGCAATAAACAAAGTAAAAAGGAAAATAAATATATCTATGAACTAACTCTGTGTGTGTGTGTGTGTGTGTGTGTGTGTGTGTGTGTGTGTGTGTGTGTGTGTGTGTGTGTGTGTGTGTGTGTGTGTGTGTGTGTGTGTGTGTGTGTGTCTGAGACCAGGACTTGAACTTGGTATCTCAAACTTTAGCTCATTATCTGACATCTACTACTTGAGTCATGTCTCCAACCCCTGAACTTTTAAAGAAAAATTATATTTCTATTATCTTTTTTTTTGTGGACCATGCGGCTTGAACTCTGGGCCTGGGCATTGTCCCTCAGCTCTTCAGCTCAAGGTGAGTGCTCTACCACTTGAGCCACAGCACCACTTCCGGTTTTCTGGTAGTTTATTGGAGATAAGAGTTTCGTGGACTTTCCTGCCCCGGCTGGCTTTGAAACACGATCCTCAGATCTCAACCTCCTGAATAGCTAGGATTACAGGCATGAGCCACCAGTGCCTGGCTTCTATTATCTTTAAGTAGTTGTACAAAGCAGTTACAATTCAGCAAATCAGTTTGTTCATTATCCATGTCTGACAGTCCTTTGAGAGTTGGCCTGATAATATCTGTGGGTTGGCTAATGATGAGCTCTGGGCATTGTGACTCCAAGGCCATAAAAGTCAGTAATGACTCTGTCTTCTCAGTCCTCCAGTTTAGTGTCTCCAGAACAGTTGGTTCTGTGTCTGCCTATTCGTTTACCAGCATCAGCAGGATCTGATGTCACTGTCTTCCCATCCTGAGGACACAGGCTGAAGCCTGGGCACCAGGCTTGGGAGGGGCCTTGGAGCTGCACTACTCAGTCTTGGCTAAAAAGAGAAAGAACTTCGCCTTGTAAGTGCAGAGGCATGGATGTGTGGAGGACTCTAGAAATTAGAACATGCATGACAGTAGGCAGCTGGTTGAGAGGATACCAGTAAAAAAAAAAAAAAAAAAAAAACAGGCACTTTTGAGGATTTGTGAGTTTATGCTCTTAGGTTTCTTTGTGGTACTTGAAATCTGATTCAAAATTTTCTTTCTACTGAGCACCAGTGACTCATGTCTGGAATCTTGGCTGTTTAGGAGACTGAATTCTGAGGACCAAGGTTCAAGTCAGCCTGGGCAGGAAAATCCCTGAGATTCTTATCTCCAATTAGCCAGCAAAAAGCCAGAAATGGAGCACTGGCTAAAGGGGCAGGGCACTGCCTTGTGTAAAAAAGATTTGGGAAGTGCCCAGATGCTGAGTTCAAGCCCCAGCATCTGCACACTCGCCTGTATTGGTTCTAGATCCCCTAAATTTCCGAGCTCTTTGTATTTAATCTATATCCCAAGCACTTCAAAGGATTATGAAGTTGAAGAGAGGATGAGAATGGCAGAAATTACAACCACTGAAACATTATATCATTTTATATAATATATTTTACCATTTTAATTTTAGCATCATCCCATGATTCCATAATTCCACATTCTACATCTCTTTGCATTACCTCTGTTTCATATTCCTAGATTGAAAAAATACTTACATGTTTATTATCTAACAAGAATACAAGGGCAATTATGCTAGTCCAAAGACTTGAACTCAGAGTCACGGTAGTATATTTCACAAACTAATGATGTGTCTGATAAGAATGCACTTCTTAAGGGGAAACATATGCATCAATTAATAGTAAAAATGAAAATAAATTGCTAGAAATCATAGGACTCCCTCTCCAACATAATATATAGGAATTATTTCTTGTATTCAATGCAAACAGGCACAGAATTTTAAAGTGTTGCAATAATGATCTTAACAAGTTAGATGCCAACCCTCTCTCAGCTAATGTCACGTGTCATCTACAAAGTTTGAAGTAGACATTTGTCCTTAGACCATATTCTGATACAAGCTAATATATTTTCTTTCCTCTGAGCAAAAATACTAGGTTTTTGTCATGTGAAATGATTACATTGCAGCAAGATTAGGTAATTGTAGAGGAGGAATTTTTAATTCTCTCCATCCTCCTAACTCCCAAAGAGAGTTGTTTACTTGAGACACAACTAAAAGGATTTTCTAGAATAGGTCTTTATGTATTTACCATGTAGTCTCTGGAAAAACAAATACAAGCTTGCCTGGATAGTTTCTAAAATGTAGAAATAATGCGAATATTAATTTTTTTCTTTTAAAAATTTTTTTGTTGTTTTTGTAAAAGTGAGGTACAGAAGGGTTACAGTTACATGAGTTCCTTAATGAGTACATTTCTGTCTGGAACATGTTACCTCTTCCTTCGCCCTACCATCCCCACTCACGAGTTGGATAGTTCATTTAAAATATTGTGTCTAGTGAGCACCATTGCTGCATTTGTTCACTCTTGGTCCCTTCATTTCTGTGCCTCCCTTTATACTCCCAAAGGCAGATAAGATAAAATGAGAAGATAACAGAAACTAAGCTATTACATTTTATGAGCAATAAATATTTTGTTGTATACTCCCCTAACAAAATTTAGGTAATTTAGGAGTGACATTTTAGGGAAAAGTCTTTCCATAGATATCAATGAATACTCACATGGAAACACTGATACAAAAATCTAACCACAGAAATATTACAATATTTTTCTCTTGTAATAGATGTAAAAAATCATATTTCATATGTAGTTATAACAACCTCTGAAAGTTCTATATGATGTGAATATGACTACACCATGATTCTTTTTTTTATTAGTGTCATCTTTATAAACTGTGCAGTTCAACAAAGCCACAGATAAGGGCTGGGAAGGTGGCTCAGTAGTAGAGTGCTTGTCTTGCTTGTCTGAGGCCCTGGGTTCAATTCCTCAGCACCACATATGCAAAAAGAAAAAAGCCGGGAGTGGTGCTGTGGCTCAAGTGGTAGAGTGCTAGCCTTGAGCTGAAGAGCTGACAGACAGCACCTAGGCCCAGAGTTCAGGCCCCAAGACTGGACCTCCCCCACAAAAATAAGCCACAGATAAGAGTTATTAATTAACTTTCAGCTATTGAAAAAACTGTAAGGCAACAATTAACTCCTTAAAGGAAGGAAATCAGAAAGTACAAGAATAATGAAAAACTTTTGGAAGATAATTGCCATACCACCAAATTTTCTGATTAGCAACTACAAATTTTTATGTTCCAATAATGCTGTTGTTCCTTATGTAGTATTTAAAACCTTCCCCCCCACTCAAAGACATTTGCACAAATTTTAAAAGAAAGGAAGATATAGTTGATTGATTCTAAATTTCCTTCCATTACAATGATATTTTTCTACAAATGGAATGGATGTGACTTATTCTCATGTGTGTGTGTGTTATGGGGACTTGAATCAAGGGCCCAAGCACTGTCTGTGGTTAGATTTTATATCAGGGTTTTCATGTGAGTATTCATTTATGTCTACAGCTCTGTTTGCTGGAGACTGATGCTCTACAACCTTGAGCCAAAACTCTATATCAGTGTTGTTAATCGGAGATGAGTCTTACAGACTTTCCTGTACGGGTTGGGCTGGCTTCAAACTCTGATCCTCATATCTCAGTCTTCTTAGTAGCTAGGATTACAGGTGTAAGCCACCAGAAACCATTTTTTTTATTTTCTATTTTTAACAAGTAGATTGCATTTCAGTGTTATCATGGACTTGTTAACCTGTATCTTTTTCTTTCTTGTGCTAATCTCTAAAGTAGGATCAAATAGAAGTTGAAGAACAACTGAAAGACAGAGTTACAGAGATTCAGGAAATGTTACTATGGAGAATGATTTCAGACGCTTTGGTATCAGGTAGCAAATATAGCTTTCAAATACTGGAACTCAATATACACATAGCCTTTGTCATTTATTTAATTTTTCTCAAGAATGTTCTTTTTGCAACAGTTGCCCAAGCAACACAGAAGCACAGAATCTAACAACTGTCACAGAATTCCATCTCCTGGGATTATCAGAGGACCCTGAACTACAGCCCATCCTCTTTGGGCTGTTCCTGTCCATGTACCTGATCACTGTGCTCGGAAATCTGCTCATCATCCTGGCTGTCACCTCTGACCCCCACCTCCACACCCCCATGTACTTCTTCCTCTCCATCCTCTCCTTAGATGACATCTGCTTCATCTCCACCACTGTCCCTAAGATGCTGGTGGACATTCAGATTCACAGCAGAGCCATCTCCTATATGGGCTGCCTCACACAGATGTCTCTTTTCATCCTTTTTGTCTGTGTGGATAATATGATCCTGACTGCCATGGCCTTTGACAGGTTTGTGGCCATTTGTCATCCTCTACGTTACCAAGTCATCATGAACTTTCGTCTCTGTGGCTCCTTAGTTCTGGTGTCTTTTTCACTCAGTCTTTTTGAATCCCAGCTGCACAATCTGATTGTCTTACAACTTACCTGCTTCCAGGATGTGGAAATTGCTAATTTCTTCTGTCACCCTTCTCAAATTCTTAGCCTTGCCTGTACTAGCAGATTTAGCAATGATATAGTCATTTATGTAATTGGCATCACACTTGGAGTCTTTCCTCTTTCCGGGATCATTTTCTCCTATTATAAAATCATTTCCTCTATTTTGAGAATCTCATCATCCAGTGGGAGGTGCAAAGCCTTCTCCACATGTGGCTCTCACCTGTCAGTCGTTTGCTTGTTTTATGGAACAGCTCTTGGAGAGTACTTTGGCTCAGCTATTTCTCATTCTCCCAGAAACAGTGCAGTGTCCTCATTAATGTACACGGTGGTCACCCCTATGTTGAATCCGTTCATTTACACCCTGAGGAACAGAGATATCAGTAGGACACTGAAGAGGCTGCACAGTAGGAAAATCTGAACTCACAACTTAAGGTGTACATTTGGACACCATTTAGAAAAGCGAGAAAAACTGGACACCTAGATCTGCAAGCAACTGTATCTTTGTTGAATCTGAGGGGGGATGAAGGAGAACCCCTGGGTCTTGAACTTAGGGTCTGGGAACTGTGGTGGGCTTTTATTTTGCTCATGGCTAGCACTCTACCACTTGAGCAACGGCTTAACCACCAGCTTTTTTGTTGGTTCATTGGAGATAAGTGTCTCACAGACATTCCTGCCCAGTGCCTTTGAACCATGACTTTCAGATCTCAGACCCCTGAGTACCATTACAGGTATGAGCTGCTAGAACTTTGCTCAGGTTATTTTTTTAAGAAAGGTATGACCTTCAGTCTCTCATCATTTTTTTGTACATTTTTATTGGAAAAATATGTACAGAGGGGTTAGAATTACATGAGCAAGGTAATGAGTACATTTCCTATGGAGCATTGTTGCCTCCTCCTTCGATTTTTTTCCCCTACCATCCCTTCCCTCCCGTCTCCACAATTACACTGCCACTCCTCACCTAAATTGTAAAGTTTGTTTTCAACATAGTGTCTTGTACATCTCATTGTTACAATGGGTCAACCATATCCCTATTTAAGCATTTTGTTTTTTCCCTTCCCCTCTCCAAATTAGAGAAGTGTATGTACAAGATGTAGGGCACCAGAATCTGGGCTGGGAAGGTGGCTCAATGGTAAAGTGCTTGCCTTGCATGCATGAGGCTCTGGGTTCGATTCCTCAGCACCACATGCAGAAACGGCCAGAAGTGGTATTGCGGCTCAAGTGGTAGAGCCCTAGCCTTGAGCTGAAGAGCTGAGGGACAGCTCCCAGTCCCAGAGTTCAGGCCCCACGACTGACAAAAAAAAAAGATGCAGGGCACCAGAATCAAACACAGTGAAAACAGGAGTTATACAGTGGGGGAGGAATATAAAAAGAAATTTTAAAAATCACATGGTACATTATTTTTATAGTAGAAAGACATGTTATATGTTTAGTGAAGGGAGAATTTGAAGTTTTTCAAATGGCTATAAAATTTCAGATCAAGAAGTTGAACAAATAGTAAAAATAATAATACTATATGGTTATAAAAATGTGATGGTGGACCAAAAGATGGATGATGTGTAGAAAGGCAAGGATAATGGGTTTAATATTATAGAAATCAATCTATCTACATTTATGACTATCACCTATCAATCATCTATCTCATCTATCTACTTACCTATCTGCAATCTCTTCTAACATCTCTCTATTTAGTTCTATAACTCTAATTATCGATGGTAATTTCCTTCCTACTTAGAAATCTGAGAGGAGTTTAAATATTTATTTGATATATGTGCATTAAACACTTGTAACCTCTGCTTCAATGTCTGTTAGGGCTAGAAAACAAGAAAAATTATTAGTACAAGCTGGGTACAGGCTCATGTCTATCATCCTAGCTACTCAGGAGGCTGAGATCTAAGGATTGTGGTTCAAAACCAGCCCAGGCAGGAAAGTCCAGAGACTCTTATCTCCAATAAACCACTAGAAAACCAGAAGTGGCACTCCAGCTCAAGCGGTGGAGCACTCGCCTTGAGCTGAACTTTGCAGGGTCAGCACCCAGGCCCAGAGTTCAAGCCCCATGCTGACTCCCCCCCCCCAAAAAAAAAACAATTAGTAGTACATTTAATTTGTTCAAATTGGTTTAGGCATGAGTTTGGCATTCTTGGATTTTATAAAATTCTCTGATAAGTTTATTGGTTAGTGAGCCTGAAAACCACTAGTATACTGTTGTTAACATGATGAAATACTGGAGCTAAAGAAATTTTAAAAACCATAGAGAAAAAATAGAGAGGCAGCAGGTGCAAGGGGGCCTAAGGCTCAGCAGCTCTTGCACCCCAGACTTCTGTAAGCAAGCTTATTTATTAGATTTAGTATAGGGAAGTTTACCATAGGTACACGCAGAAAATGCAGCATCTATACTGTTTTTACAATCAGAGACAAAACAGAGATTGTGAAAATAACTGTCTCCCTTATTATTTCAAAAGAGAAGATTATGAACTATGTTCTCACTTTGTGAATGTTTAGAATGCTGTTTAATTTTAAGCAAAATGAACTCTAAGATAGGGACACAAGTGGTTTTTATCTTTGTTGCTATTGTTTTTCACTTATTTATAATGTACTGTGTGATTTCTTTTGTTTCTTTTGTATGCTCTTTTCCCATGTTATAACCCCTGTTTTCACTGTTTTTGATTCATCTTGTATATACAATTTTCTAATTTGGGGAGGGGAAAGGAAATAACAAAATGTTGAAATAAGGACCCGTTGTAACAATGAGATGTACAAGACACTATGTTGAAAACAAACTTTACAACTTTGGTGGGGGGGAGGAAGGAGTGGGAAGGTGGGGAGAGAAGGAATGGTAGGGAAAAACAAAGGAGAAGGTAACACTGCTGGATAGGAAATGTACTCATTACCTTACTCATGTAACTGTAACTCCACTGTACATTTTCTCATTAAAAACATATTTAAAAAATAAAAATAAAGACAAAAGAGCTAAAAAAAAGAGTGCTGTTTAATTAATCCTATCCACGTGTAATTATTTGTCATTTACTATCCATTGGGTTTACTTGTAGATTTATCAACACACTCTAATTATTACAAATGAGGAAAAACATGCAGCCCATGTTTCTTTGGGTCTGGCTTACTTTGCTTAGCATAATTTTTCCAAGTTTTTCCATTATCTTATAAATGGGGCATTGTCATTTTTTTCTGATGAGAGCATACAATTCCACTGTGTATATGTACCACATTTTCCTGATCCATTTTTTTTTTTTTTTGGGGTCCGGTAGTGGGGCCTGAACTCTGGGCTTGGGCACTGTCCCTCAGCTCTTCAGCTCAAGGCTAGCGCTCTACCACTTGAGCCACAGCGCCACTTCCGGCTTTTTTCTTTTTGCTTATGTGGTGCTGAGGAACCGAACCCAGGGCCTCAGGCATGCAAGGCAAGCGCTCAACCACTGAGCCATCTTCCCAGCCCTCCTGATCCATTTTTACACTGAGGGACATCTGCGTTGATTCCATATCTTAACCATGGTAAACAATGCTGCAATGAACATGGCTGTACTGGTGGTTTTAGTGTAGCCTGGTTTATCATCATTTGGATAGATGCCCAGGAGTGGGATTGCTGGTTCATTGAGGAAGATCTATGCTTACTCTTGTGAAGAACCTCCATATTGCTTTCCTGAATGGTTGAACCAGTTTACATTCCCACCAACAGTGTAGTAGGAGGATATTCTTAGAAGAGGATTGCAAGAGCTCAATAGCTATGTGCACATGATTATATAAAATGATGCCTATCAAAATGAACTCCGAAAAATGTAAACAAAGGTCATTTACTGTATTGTTTGTGTTTTTTTCCTTTGGTTTATTTTTTAAAATGTTATTTATTAATGTTATTTTTTTAGATTCCTGTACCCTTTGCTTTGTGTATAAGTTTAGCTGATTTAGGGAGGGAAAGGGGAATCCCAGAAACAGTGGGACAACAGGTGAACCAATTCAGCAGTGATACTTACTAGACACTATGTTGGAACTGAACTATACAACTTAGTGGGGAGGGAAGTCAGGAGAGGAAAATCTGGGAGAGAATGAGGGACAGACTGAGTGACAGTGTTTAAAAAGAAATGTACTCATTACCTGAGTTAGGTAACTGTAACCTCTCTGTATATCACCTTTACGATGAAATTTAAAATAAAAAAGACTGCAACCTAAGCAAAAATCCAAACATATATTCCACTATATCTACTTTCAAGGTTTAGCTCTCAGCTCTTCTAGCACTAAGGAAGGGGATGGCATTCCAGCCTCTTAACCCTTTCCAGAGCTGTCTGTTTTAACTTTTCCATGGTCAGTTCTCAGCATTCTGAGTACTGTTGAAGTAACATTCCCACCTCTCAAAACTTTGCCAGGTTTCACAGCTTAGCTTCAAAATGCTCCACAGTGTACAAAATTACAGATTGTGTGTGTGTGTGTGTGTGTCTGTATGTGTATGCATGTGTGTGTGCATGCACAAGCCAGGCTTGGGACTTGAATTCAGGGCCTAGGCACTATCCTTTAGTTTTTGCTCAAGGATGGCTCCACTCCTGACTTTTTGGAGGTTAATTGGAGATAAGAGTCTCATTGACTTTGCTGTCTAGGTTGACTTCAAACCTCAATTTTCAGATTTCAGCCTCCTGAAGTAGTAGCTAGGATTATAGGTATGAGCTACTGACACTTAGCTGATAGCTTCATTATTTTATCTTTTGCCTTTCACGTGTGTGTGTGTGTGTGTGTGTGTGTGTGTGTGTGTGTGCAGAGATTTGGAGCCAAGTAGAGAATGATTTGCTGGACTGTGGACATTCATCTTCTGTTCTTCTTCCTCAATCACTAATACTGGGAAATCCTCTGAGACTGAGATTGCACGGTCTGATTTGTGTATAGTTGCTAATTAGCCTGTCTGTCCAGTCTGTTATTTGTATGGTCCCAGTCCACTGGAATCACCTATTCTTCTCTTTGGCTGGATCTCAGTATGCAAAAGCTTCTTAGTGAACCTGTCTGTATCTATACTAGGTGGCAGGCATGGGAGGATGTTCAGATCTGAATGTGGGGACCCAGACCTTGCAAAGAAGCAGGACAACTCTGTAAGTTCTGAGACATGGGGGAGTTAGGAAGAAAAAAGTGAAAGAAAATTCTGAAAATTTCTTTATCATAATTCATGTGGGAGAATAGTAATGTAAACAATCTCATTTAGGAAGACTATCATGTATACATAATATATGCATGTCTATATACTTGTGTATATACATATATAAATATATATGTATACAGACATGCATATATGCATATTTCTTTTGTGTGGGCTGGGGCTTGAATTCTGGAACCTGGGTGCTGTCCCTTAGCTTTCTCATTCAGGCTGGTTCTCTACCACTTGAGTTGTACCTCCATTACTGGTTTTGTGCTGGTTCATTAGAAATA